TTTTATCAAACCAGAAAGATTTGCGCTGGGATCAACTTTAGACAATTTACTCTTACGCTATCAGAAAGCTAATATCCCAACTCTGGTAGGCAGAAACAATATTAGTAGAGTAATCAAAGATTACTATAAAAAAAAAAGACAAGAAGTGACAATGGTTGCTAAGAAAAAAAGGAATAACTAAAGTTGAACAAGATGCCATTGATGTTGATGTTAAATTTATGAAAAGAATGATGTGTGACAAAGTAGCTATGTATTCTGGGTTGGACAAGGTAGTCACAGAAAAGACAAAAAGCAATTAGAAATACAAAAAAAAAATCTCAAATAAAAAGAATTAAACCCATGTAAATGTACTTTTGAAATAATAAATCTTGAAAGAGGCAGTAGCACTTGTGAGAATGAGAATATTGAAGAATTTAGCATCAGAGCAAAGAATAGGAAACACAAAAGAATAGTTAAATGTGGCATAGATAACTTTGTACCTCATGACATATTGAACAACTGTAATCTACTTTTTCATGCACAACATCTTATCAACCAAATTTAGTGCCATTGTACACTTCCTTGTATGCAGCATGCGTGGGTAACTTTTAACTCTTACAAGCTATGTTTAAATGCAAAGATAGTCCATCAGTATAGAATGGCTATTGTAACCAAAATAAGTTGGAAGATCAAAGAAAATTGGATGCCACTGCTAAAAATGTTATCGCATTGGGATGGAAAACTTATGGACACTTTTGATTCTAAAGGAAGGGATGACTGATTTCATATTCTTGTATCTAGAGCTGATGGTACAAAGCTGCTTGAGTACAAAACTCTATGAAGCTCTGTTTCATAGAACTCAAAGAAATTGAAAATTCCTTTGAGTTCTATGAAACAAAGTCAAAGGAATCAAAATTGGAGATCAAATCTTTTGCAATGACGTGTCTCAAATAATATGTGTTAAAAAGGAAAAAAAAAAGAAAAAGAAAAATGGAGGAAATTAAAAAAAAAAAAAAAGATTAGTTAAGAATAATTTAAAATAAGAAAATATTTAAAGATATAAATGAACAAAAAGATTAAAGAAAAAATATAAGAAGAAAATTAATAAAAGAAAAAAAACCATTTAATAAAACAAATAAATCAATTAAAAGCAAAGTATCAATTTAAAAGAAAAAAGTACAAAAAAAGTTCAAAAAAATAATAAAAAGAACTAGAAAACATAAAAGTAAATTGCTACCAATTTTCCTATTCCTTTTTTTGCCTAAAATAACAAAAGATTATTATTTTTTATTTTGTAGAAATCACCTTTTTATTTTGAAGTTTTTGTTTTCATTTTGTAGTTTTTGAGTAATTTTTTCAATATTTGGTTAAATAAGTGAAAAAAAAAAAAAAAAAACTCTAGTTGAAAATGCTTGCATAGAATTCAATCTGCGCACTTTATATTTATCTGAAGAGTTGACTCCAACCTTTTTGAACTATATTTTGTATTTCCAATTTGTTGGTGCTCATTCATTTGTGAATGAATCATCAAAAAAACTGTGTATATGTTATTTTTACGCCTAAATACAATACCATAATTATGACAGCATCATTTGACAGTTAGGGCAACTGCCACACTCTAATCGAACCTTGACAAGCAAGGCCGCTGCTCAGAAAAATTAAGTTAAGCGCGGTACTTCCAGGGACATGGTGGGAGTCAAACTCCAAACCTCTCGCTTACAAAGCGAGCACTCTTACCACTACACCACTACCGCATATACATACATATATGTGTATATATACATATATGTATGTATATACATATATACATATATATATATATATATATATATATATATATATATATATATATATATATATATATATATATATATATATATATATATATATATATGTATATACATACATATATGCATATACATATATGTCTATACATACATACATGTGTATATATACATATATGTCTATACATACATACATATATATATATATATATATATATATATATATATATATATATATATATATATATATATATATGTATGTATATATACACACACACACACACACACACATATATATGTATATATATATATATATATATATATATATATATATATATATATATATATATATATATATATATATAAAATATATATATATATAGATACATAAGTACATATTTAACATAGAAACATGACCAGTTAAACCATTTTTATACATATATACACAATTTAAGCCCCTATTATCTCTCGCCATATGTTGTAATTCTGGAAGTAATACAAACCTGCAAAGCATTCTTATTTATCAATTCATGTTTTTCTATTTGTCAAAAAAAAAAAAAAATTTCAATGTTAAAATATTTATCATTTTAATCTTAATTATTATTAATAATTAAATTAAGAAAAACAAACAAAAAAATAATTAATTTTTTAAAGAATTAATAAAAAACTTATTTATGCAAATAAATATGTAAAAGATGTAGCTTATACTGAGTCGGTAATAAAAAAGATGTTATCACATTTAGATTTTTTTCTTTGTAACATTTTTCCATTTCTGTTGGTGCTCATGCCACTCTGGCACCATTTGTTGTTTTATAATTTCTTTTGAAGATGGTTTCCGTGGTAATGCTAAACCATTTGATATATAGTAGTATACTATTGTTGAACCACTATCAAAAAAAGCTACCAACAATCTGCGTTAAAAAAAACACAGTTAAACATTTTTCCATAATCAGATAAAAAGTAAATAAACTTTAAAGGTTCATTTACCTTTTACAGCAACATCCATGGGCAACTGCAAGATCAATCAAATTATGTAAACTAGTAATAAATATATATATATATATATATATTATTATTATTATTATTATTATTATTATTATTATTATTATTATTATTATCATTGAGTTGTGTTGTATTCTGTTGGATTTAAAACAGCTCTTTGTTAGTTTAAGAATGATCGATATTTATAAAATAGATCAAAATATATTAAATATTAACTTGAAGTCCCACAAAAAAGTCAAATTTTTTTCATTTAAATATTTTATATATATATATATATATATATATATATATATATATATATATATATATATATATATATATATATATATATATATATATATATATATATATATATATATAACCCTCGGAATTAAAATGTATATCGTTATTTAGTAAAGTTTAACTTAGTCACAGGAACTTTCAAGTGACAAAATCTGATCATTGTTATCATAAAAAATTTAAACTGTTGAAAATAAATCAAGAAGCCCAATAAAAAAGATAAAAAACCTTGTTAATTTAATTTGAGAATTAGATGACCAAGGTAACACATAATCAATTACAGAAGCCTATAAAAGAAACATCATTGTGTTATAAAAGAAAATATCTTGTAAATGTGAAGACTATGAACAATCATTCATAATTACAAACACAAATTCCTTTATTAACAAAAATGCGCAGAAAAAAAAAGTGCAGCTAAAAAAATAAATAAAAACATTTACGTTATAGTTCTTCTTTCCCCTTAAAAAAACAATATCTTGTTCTATGATAGGTAACATCTCTACATCAAACCAATTTTGAACTAAAATAAACAACATAAACAAAGTTACAGCTAGTTATAAAATTTAAAGCTATAAACCATAGAATAGTCATAGATATGATCTAGAAACAATAATTGTAACCATAGTAACAAATATATTTACTTAACACATGCATAAATATAGTAATCTTAATCACCTATGATAACAACCATTGATAACAACCAATAATAACAATGATAACAACCAATGATAACATACAATGATAACAACCAATGATAACATACAATGATAACAATTAATGATAACAACCAATGATAACATACAATGATAACAACCAATGATAACATACAATGATAACATACAATGATAACAACCAATGATAACAACCAATAATAACATACAATGATAACAACCAATGATAACATACAATGATAACAAACAATTATAACAACATCATTTCATGAAATATAATTATAAAATAAACAATATTCAATTATTTGCATAGAGTCAATATGCAATAGGTGAATTTTCCAGTCAATTGATTGAATATTATTTTTAAATATTTTTATTTATTTTTAAATACTGAATATTATTTTTAAATACAAATATAGTTTATTTCTAAACCGATAAAACAAATAATATTGATTTATTTATATTTAATCAAAAAAAGTTAAATTTCTCAAATACAAATATCAGCCTACACCATTTGAAATTTACTGCCAATACGAGAGAATATACTGGCTTAAAGGTCATTATTAGGCTGACAAGCATGATTAATTTTTTTTTTAATCTATTTGATTGTTTAAATTGAAATGAAAACAACAAAAAGAATATTTTAGATTAATTAATGAAATAATTAAAGCAAAAACAGCAAGCTGAACATTTTATTTATATTCTAACTAATATCAATGATATTTTATGCAAGACTAAGTATGCAAAGATATTTGTGTGTATGTATGTATGTATGTATGTATGTATGTATGTATGTATGTATGTATGTATGTATGTATGTATGTATGTATGTATGTATGTATGTATGAATGTATGTATGTATGTATGTACAGGCTTCGGCAAGAGTAAATAAATGCACAAGCCATAAATAGCCCGTCTAAACCTGTCTTCACGGACTACGCAAGCCGCCCGCCTAGATAGCCTTGCACGGGCTTTTTTTAAAAATTAAAATTATTATGTTTTGATAAAACTTTTTTTTATTCTAAAATTTTATTATGTTGATTCTTTATGTTTGGTATAGTAAAAATTTTAATTTTAATAATAAATGTTTTTTTAGCGATAAAAAGACAGAAAAAACACTTTCAAAAAAAAAAAAAAAACCTAACGTTTTTTTTTAAATAATTTTTTATATTTAATTTTTATTTCTATTAATTCATAACTTGGTAATGAATTAAATAATAAATAAAAAATAATATTCAAATGTTAAAATATAATCAATTGTTCTAATAAAACAACAATATATAAAAAAACTGTTATACATCATATAGTTGTTTTATAATAAAGAATTATTTTGGGAAATCAGGGCAAACAAACAACAAAATTAGTTTGATTAAGTGAAAGGTGAAGAGTTTCTCTGTTCTGCACTTAGGCTTAACTCTTATTATTCAATTATTAGAAAATATTCTATGTTTTATAAATTGGTTTTTTGATCAATAAAGATAATAAACATAAATTTAAACTGCCAAACAACTGTACTGTATAATGCTAAACTGCTACCTATTGCTCTGTTGTTGGTTGTAATAATGACTTCATTAAAGTCTTCAAGTGTCCAGATAATTTATTTAAAATTGCTTTCTTATGTGCAGAGGAATGAAAATATAATGCACTACTGGAAAGGTAAAAGTACAGCTAAAGACTAATTTCACTACAGGATTTAAAAACAATAAAAATAAAATCTCTAATATGACAACAGATATTTTTGTTAGTGATAATACATTTATGTTTAGCACTTTGAACTGAAGATTCTGCTCATCATTTTATGTTGTCTATTTTTGTGGTGATTTTTATTTATTTATGACATGGATAAAACTTCTTTTGTTTAAGTTAAAATGTATTATTTATAATGAATGAATTTAGAAATGAAATTAAAATTTACCAGCGACAATTGTAAAATTTTACCTAAATGCTCTATAATTGTTGATTGTTCTGAGATTTTTATTGAAAAGCCATCTAGCTTGGATATAGATGTAACTTCTTGGTCAAATTACTGTAAAATATTTGGTCTAATTAACATTTAATCTAGTTTAATTTCTTATTTGTTTCATTGTTATGGCAGAATCTCTAGTTATATTTGCATTTTTAAAGGTTATGAACTATTAAAATGCTTAAAACCTGAAGATAAAAATTTACAATTTTTTTTCTCTATATAACTTGCCCATTAAAGTGCACAAATCCTGCTTTTTGTCCTGCTAATTGTTTAGGTAATGTTTGTTGTTATTTGTATTCATTTCGTTTTTACTTTTATTTTCTTGCATTTTCAATTTTACTCTTTTTCTTTAAACCGATTTATTTATTCTTAATTTTATTTATTCTTTTTATTTGTTCATTTTTTGTTATATTTGTTTATTTTATGAACGTGTCACTCCATTGACTAGTTTGTAACTATACAAGTGAGACGGCGGGAATGGTATTTTTAATTTACTGAATACCATCCCGTAACCTTTTTTCTCCACTTCGAGCACTATATATATATATATATATATATATATATATATATATATATATATATATATATATATATATATATATACACACACACACACACATATATATATATATATATAGCAAATTGATTGAATTTGATACAAGCCATAGGGTATACAGGGCTTGTTTTAAAGCGTTACGCCTAGAGCGATTTACATACGCCTTAAGCGATTTTTACGTACGCGTAGAGCTGTTTTGGTTAAGCTACTTTTTATCATTTTTTAACTTTTAAATTAGCGGTAACATAAAAGAAGTAATTAATTTTTAAAAAAACCACATTAACTTTTGAATAACGATATGTAAAAATATTTATTAGAAAAAAAAAATTACGTTAAAAATAATTGAAGTAACTTTTTATCGTGACATATCATACGTTTTTATAACATTTAATTTTACGCTTAACTTTTTATTCAAATATTTAGTAACATGAAAAATTGTTCGCCAATCCTTAACTACAAATTTTTTGCAAATGTTTTTAATAAAAAGTAGTAACTTTTTAAAGTTTTCAGTAAAAAACTTTTAAAAAATCTATATTCCAAACTTATTAATACAGAATATAAATGTTTTTTGTAATATAAATTTTTTAAGTGTTTTTTACTAAATTCATATTAAAAAACATTAGCAAAAAATTTGTAATTAAGGGTTGACATTTTTTTAATATATCAAAAAACGTCTTAATATTTTTGTTATCATGATAACAAAAATATTAAGACATTTTTTCAAGATATTAAAAAAAATGTGCCAATGAATGAACAATCTATTTGTATTTTTCTAAAAAATTACTTAATCAATTATTACTCTTTGCTTTTCTTATTAGTTAAAGGTATATAGATACCTTTGCTTTTAAGTTATGCGGGGGGAGGGGGCCAGCACAGAAAAAATAAGTTACCTGTTACTCGCAAGTTTTGAATGAAGACAATTTGTTAAATTCCTTCTGCGTGCGATTCAATAAATTTTTTTCATAGATCAAGTTATATTATAAGGTAAAGAAATCACGAGTAGACTATAACATCCGCTGATGACACTAATATTACGTTGAATATATTTATATAATGGAGGTTTCATTATGCACGCACACATTACAGATTCCGTTAAATAAATACTAAGGCACGTTTTAGTTTAATGACAGTCTCTATTTTTTATTAATGAATATGTATTTTTTTTTATAAAACAAGACAAACTAGTATATAAAAACCTTTTATATTTCTATTCTCTCTAATTGTTTAAAGTTCGAATATGGATTGTATTTTGAAGGACAAAAGATTTCCTTTAAAAACTTTTAAATCTTGGGACTTTGCCGATGCGATGATCACAGAAAAAGAGAAGACTTACGTTATTAAAATCAAATGTAAGTTATGTGATCTTCATCAAAATAAAATATAATCCTAAAACAATTGTGCCGTAAGGGCAGCTGCCCTACTGTTTATAAATAATACAAGTCATGTTAAAATATTTTAACATGTTACTATATTTAATTTAAGTTGATATATAAATAAAAATAAAACTATAGTTTAATAAATAAATTAAATTTGTTCTTAACAAAGATTACCTCATATTTATTCTTTTTTTATTTTATTAAGTTAAATTGTTTACAAACGAAGAAAAAAAAGAGCTTTTTTTTTTGTAATTATACGTAGAATGAAAATACTTTTGAGTTTGTTTATAAGTTAAGGAACTTAATTTTTAATAAACAAATTTTTACGAACGTTTATTATAAACAGATACGATTCAAATTATTAAATATACTTATATTATTTTAGTTGAGTATTTTTTTAAGTTTGCACGATTAAAGTTTTGCGGAGAAGTATTTGTTTTTTGTTTTAAGAATAATTAACAAAAGAGTTTGCATAATTAAGACTTTTATATTTAATTTAATTTTTTTTTAATTTCCTAAAATTTAAAAAAAAAATATTTAATCGTTAAAAACAATATTTCTCTGTAGCTCTGTTTCTTTGTGATTTGTTTAAAATGTAAAACATTTTTACAATAACATAAAAAATTTATGAATTAAATTCCTGGCGAACGCGTTCTAAACTATGTATCAAAAATATGCTAAAAGCAGACAAAACGTTTTTATATTTTTATATAACGCAAGTTGAAACGCTAAGCAAGATAAATTTAAAAAAATATTCTTTCCTAAATTATTCTTTGCTAGTCAAAACAAAATCGCTGTTTAAATAATTAACATGGGTTTTTGTTTATCAATGTTAATATTTTTTGTTTACTCCAGAAATTTTTAAAAATAAAAAAAAATCACTATTTTTTATTTAATAACGATTTATAAACAATTATTCAAAAACAAATTTCAGAAATAATTAATATATTT